CTTGTGGGGCTAGTTTCTCCAGGGTTGGCAGGGACCCTTAGCCCACCAACTTAGCCCTTGAGGGGACTTCGTGCTAACAGGACTTTCCTGGATTCAACCCCCAGCTCATATGGCTGGAGCCTTCACCCCACTACTCTTTGGGAGCAGCCCTGCTGCCCTCATGGAGGCTGACTGGAGCAACTCTGCCTTTGGCCTCCATTCAAGGACCCCTGTCCATAGTCCTCCAAGTTCTGTTCATACTTTCAGACTTCTGTGCCTTTGCCTATGCTGTTCCCTCTGCCTGGAATGCCCTTCCCCCTTCTTCTCCCCCAAATCCTCTTTGTCAACTTAATGCTTCTTTCTTCAGTACATCTTCTGTATTGTCCCCCCACCCTGCCTTCATTTGAAATTTTGGAACACTTTCCTGTGTCTTGTGTAGTGTTTGGCACACAATAGGTGGCCATAGTTTTTGGTTTTTTTTAAGTTAATTTGCTCAATATATATCTGTTTTATGAAATGGGACACCGCAAGAGAGTTAGCAGTTCTGAGGCTGTTGGCTTCAGAAGCCAATGAGACAACCAGGAACCCCAAAGTTCATTTAGCCACCTCCCATCTTGCCCTCGCAGGGCAATACCTCCCGGCCGTGGCAAGAGCAGGTGGCATTTTCTCCATTACACAGTGAAGAAAACCCGCCCAGGGGTTCACCGTGGAGCCACAGCACCAGCCTGGAACCTGGGCTCTGACACCCGGCCCACTGCTCTCTCTCTACAGCAGCCCAGTGAGCGCGTGTCCTTGCCCAGCTTGAGGTTGGCATGTGGTTGGCGCTCATGTGGGTGGTTGGCTGACCAGCTGACCGGCCAGTCCTGAGCTCCGTAGCCCCGAGGACCAGGACTTGTGTGGAAGACACAGTCTCTGCTCAGGGGAGGCTCACAGTTTTCAGGCCTGGGGCACCCATGTGAAACTGCAGCCTGTGACCGCAGCTGCCTTCAATGTGCAACGTCCCCGGTCACAGTGAGATTTCTGAGCAGACTGAGTCATCCCGGGAGACAGGGTGTTCCTCTTTGGGCCCCGGAGGCCTCTGTGATTGGGCAGGCTGCACTGTGGCATGGCTAGAAAATAACCTTTAAAAAGTCAAAAAACCACACGCCTCCTCAGTCCCTTCCTCAGGCAGATGTTTCAGAAACAGAAAAGCAACAGCTCTTAGCACCTCTCTCACTTGCCATGGTAGCAGCAGCCGGAAGGTCTAGTCAACCTGCCTGGGGAGCTGGTTTAAAATGCAGGTTCCTGCCCTAGCCGGTTTGGCTCAGTGGTTAGAGCACTGGCCCATGGATTGAAGGGTGCCAGGTTCGATTCCAGCCGAGGCCATGTACCTCAGTTGCAGGCTCGATCCCCAGCCCCGGTCATGGCACGTGTGGGAGGCAACTGACCGATGTGCCTCTCTGTCTCTGTCTCTGTCTGTTTCTCTCTCTTTCTCTTTCTCTCCCCCTTCTACTCTCTCTGAAAAGCAAAGAAAAAATATCCTCTGGTGAGGATTTAAAAATTAATTAATTAAATAGAATGCAGATTCCCAGACCCTACCCCATGGCCACCAAGTTCGGCTCTCTTTGGGTCGACCTAGGAGTCTGCATTCTTAGAGGATTCTTAAGGGTAGCCAAGTTTAAGGCCCACTGGCAGGGATTTCCAAGAGGGGTGCAGTCCCCCCAGAGAGTATGGGGGAAAGGATTAAAATGTCCCTTTAAGATACTTCTTTTCTATTGCATCTTTTTTTTTTTTTTTTGGTTAATCCTCACCTGAGGTAATTTTTTCCGTTGACTTTTAAAGAGAATGGAAGGGGCAGGGAGGGGGGCAATATCAATGAGAGAGAGACACACATCTATTGGTTGTCTCCTGCACGTGCCCTGAAAGTACAATAATTAATAACAATACAAGCATGAACTCTGTTTCACATACTCACAAATGTAAACCTGCTTTTGTCCCACCCTGTATATTGGGCATGCAAGCAAATATATATTTTTATTGATGATGTTTATGATTTAAAAAATGTTTTGGAGACCAAGGGCTTTTCAAAACAGATGCTTCCAAATCTTGTTCTGTCATTAAACAGCTGGATGATCTTGGCCAAGTCACTTTTCCATATTGAACTTCAGTTTTCTCATCTGAAAAATAGTTTTCCTGTGACCACCCACAAACTTGTGGCCCAGGCCGGCAAGGGAAGGGAGAGCATATGGAGTGGGATCAGGGGGACACTCACAGGGTGATCTGGAGGATGTTCTGGGGTGAGGAAGACGGAGGCGGGGAGAGGATGAGTCCCCTGAGCCTGTCAGAGAGCCGAGGTTGCAGCCAGAGGGGAAGAATGTTGTTCCCTGTCCCTACCCCAGTCCTTGAGAAGGCTGCCGCCTTTCTTCGCTGGGGAACGTTCCCTGGGGAACATTCTCTCCAGAAATAGTTGCCTGCTGACTTTTCTCAACTGTACAAATCAGACTCTGACCAAGACCCAAGTGCTCACGAGGCTGCAGGGACAAACACAGGCCTGCTTGTCCTGGAGGCCTGGAGTTATTTATACTCAATTGTATCTGCTACATGGAGGGAGTAGCCCTGACCTGGGCCACAAGGTGACCTTTCACTCCTGTCTGATCCTAGCTGACTTGTGGCTTTCGGCAAGACCCCTCTGCTCTCTGGGCCTCAGTTTGCCCACCTGTAGATCGAAGCCTGGAGGCCGCAGCGAGCTCCTTGGGTGAGGCCATGCCTGCTGCTGTCAGCTCTGTGTCTCCAGGACACTGTGGTGCTTGGCCTACGGAGTGTGGGTCGTAGCAGGAGGGCAGGGAAAGAAGGAGAGAGATCAGAGGGAAGGAAGGAAGAGGGAAGGAGGGGAGTATAGAAGGCAGGTAGGGAGGAGCCCTACTGCTGCTGCCACAGGTCCCCCTGCAGCTGGGCTCCCCACTTCTGGTTCATTGTCCCTGAGCAGTCAGACCTCACTGTGCCCTCCCGGGTCTGGGATGCCCTTCAGAGGCCTGAACCGGACCTGAGAGGCCCCCTGGGCCTGGCCCCCACCGTTCCTTGTGCACACTGTCTGCCGGGCAATCAGCCCAATACCACAGCCTTCAGGAAACCACTACCAGTCACCCCTCCTGCCTCTAGGCCTTTGTACTCGCTGTCCCTCTGCCTGGAATGCTTTTTTTTTTTTTAATTTTTATGTAATTGATACATAACATAAAATTAACTATTTTAAAGTGAATTATTCAGTGGCTTGTGGTATATTCAGTGTTGTGCAACCACCACATCTATCTAATCCAAAACATTCTCATCACCCCCAAAAGAAACCTGTGTCCATTAAGCAG